AAGAAGAAGAAGAAGAAGAAGAAGAAGAAGAAGAAGAAGAAGAAAAAAAGAGAGAGAGAGAGAGAGAGTGAGTAGAACATGGCAGGGAAGCAAGGAAACAAGCCGCGGGGTCGGAGCAAGAGTCTGAGAGCACATCCATGTGAAACATGTCAATCTTGTCAGGGAATTTCCTAAGGGTGCAAAGCCTATGCAGAACTTGGTGGGGGGCAGGCAAACCAAGAGGTCTCCTAACTGAGAATTTGCATGTAGCCATGTCTCTTTGGGGAGCTCCCATAAGAGGTGTTGGTATAAGGAAATTGACTTGCTAAAGGTGTGAGTTGTATAAGCCCTTTGCTAAGGACACTGGGTCAGTCCACCAGAGGCTTATGCCCCTACAGCTGGAAAAGGCTAAAATTCATCCTTAGAGTGCCTCCGTGTCTTCTTTCCATGGACCTATGTAAACCCCCATCCGATATGACAGTAGCTAATCAAAAAAAAAAATTCTTTTTAACATAAAAACAGGTTATAATTCAAAAGTCCAGGGTTATTTGAAACTGGAAAATATTTTCTCTGTAGAAAATAGTAAAAGTGATAACATTTCCCAATAAGCCATTTTAAGACAAATAATAGCTGAATTATACATATAAATATTGATTACATTCTGGGATACAGAAGAAACCAATTTTCATCTGTTGAGAGAGCTATGTTTTACTTAAGTTGTATAAGTGAGATTCCTATTCATCTTCCCCTTCACTGTTTGATTTACGGCAGATATTTTTCTATAGGCTAATCCATAATCTAAAAAGATTTTAGCCTCCCCTCCTGAAAGTACAGCCATCATTTTCTTTCATCAGCTTGATAGGGTACAAATTCTTGTCCTAATAGTGAAATGTTTCACTAAAGCTTGCCCAGTGATTGGGCAAAACCAAACTTATTGTAAGCCACAGTCATCCTAGGGTCCTTCCTTGCTAGGTAGCCTCCCTGGATCTGTGGGTTGCAGTCTGATTGTCCTTTGCTTTATATCTAGTATCCACTTATGAGTGAGTACATACCATGTTTGTCCTTCTGAGTCTGGGTTACCTCACTCAGGATGATATTTTCTAGTTCCATCCATTTGCCTGCAAAGTTCATGCTGTCATTGTTTTTCTCTGTTGAGTAGTACTCCATTGTGTAGATGTACTACATTTTCTTAATCCATTCTTCAGTTGAGGGGCATCTAGGTTGTTTCCAGTTTCTGGCTATTAGAAATAATGCTGCTATGAACATAGTTCAGCATGTATCATTGTGGTATGATTGAGCATTCCTTGGGTATATGCCCAAGAGTGGTATGGCTGGGTCTTGGGGTGGATCGATTCCCAATTTTCTGAGAAACCGGCATACTGATTTCCACAGTGGTTGTACAAGTTTGCCCTCCCACCAAATGTGTTCCCCTTGCTCTGCACCCTCTCATACATAGACTGTCATTATTGTTTGTGATCATAGCCATTCTGACAGGCGTAAGGTGTTATCTGAGTCGTTTTGATGTGCATTTCTCTGATGACCGTCAGTGCTCTTAAGTCCTGAGCCGTCTCTCCGGCACCCCCTCCTCTTTTTTTTTTTTTTTTTAAGGTGTGGGTCATGGAAATTTGGATCTAGGGCCTCCTGCTTGTGCAGCTCTTGCTGGCCGAGCCGTCTTCGCCAGCCCTGCAGGGCGGTTTTCCGAGGGGAAGATGGAACTGTTCCGTGTCATAGGATTTTTGTTGGTTTCTATTGTTTTGAGACACAGTGTCACCACATAGCCCAGGCCTGTCCTAAGTTCTCGGTCCTCCTGCCTCTGCTGTCTGACTGTTAGGACTCCAGCCGTAAGCTACCGTGTCTGTGTCCTTATCGTACGATGTTAATGGCGGCATCCCAGTTTCTCCATGTGTGAACATCTGTGGAAAGTGTCAAAAAAAGATAGAGTTTGATTTTATATATCCAACAGTCTAGAAAGGAACAGTAAGTTAAAAGAATTTGAGTACCTGAAGGCATACAGGAAGAGCGTAGAATTTCTCCTTTTCTCCCACAACTGTTCTAGTTTTCCTCTTCTCCCCCAAACCACTCTTAGTGAGAAGTTCCTTGTGTACTTCTCCTGACTTAAACATTTTAAACTTTCAGAGTCATAATTGGGGGTGGGGCGGGAAGCGAACATGCTAAAGTATTTTCTCAGAGTGCTTAGCTTACTGTTATAACACACCGAAGTATATTACCCATGAAACCTTGTCCTGACGTATTGAAATGGTTCCTCCTGCAGTGGGCAAGCATGAATTAACTGGCCATAAAGTGGCCGTGAAGATACTCAACCGGCAGAAGATCCGGAGCCTCGACGTGGTTGGGAAAATCCGCCGAGAGATTCAGAACCTGAAGCTTTTCCGGCACCCTCACATCATTAAACTGTAAGCCCAGCTCATCGAACCTGCTCCCGTCATCCGCTCGTGCCTTTCATTAACCTGCCTAACCTGGCAAGCCAGAGAGAGGCCTGGCCCTCTTCCCATCCCGAGGCCGGAGGTGGCTGTCGGCTCCTGCAGCCAGCCCCGCTCACTGCCAATTGCAAAGCCCCACCCTCATGTTTTAGCCTGGCTCGTATCAGACGTGTTCTTGTTCTTCCCGTTGTCTGGACAGAGGCCCTTCTGATAACTTGGCCCTTCTGTTTTTATGCCGGGAACCAACTATTGATTTTCTAGTAAGAGTCTCTGTAGCAGGTGCCAGGCCCTCCCAGGTCCACCGGAAAGAAAAAAAGAGGCCAAATAAATAAATAAATAAATAAATAAATAAATAAATAAAATAAATAAAATAAAAAATAAAAAAATCCTTGACCTCTAAATTTCAAATTTCCATATGCTGGGAACTAGGGTCATGAGAGACTGTGTGCTAGAAATGGTTTTTCCCTACCCTGCTTGTACTTGTTCATGCACATAGCAGAATCTGAGGTGCTTAGCATTGCAGGAGGGCCGTGGTCCTCACTGCTGCATTCAGGCTGCCACTGGGCGGCTACAGGGAACTTAGTTCTTGTCCCTGACCCCCACCCCGTGTGACTGTGTAGGCTGTACTTTAAAGCTGCTTGGACTTTCCTGTTGAACTGTCCGGCTCAAAAACTGTTTTATCTCTCTCATTTATTAAAGCGTTTTGCAATATCATATATGCTAGTTGGCCCTAAGTGTACATTTCTTGCTTTGAACTCTGGGCCCTATGCCTGCTGCTGACTTTATATCCTCATTGGGATGTCCACGAGGCATTTCAAAAGACCTGGTCCAGTGTCATCTCTTTATCACCTCCTGGGATCTGCTTGCCACACTGTTCTCACCTCTGTGGTTAATTGCCACTTAATACTGATGAAAACGTAAGAGCATCATTAACAGTCCTATTTAACAGTCCCTCTCCACACCATCCCTCCATCTCTTCCTTCAGACTGGATCTCAGGTCTGTCTCTCAGTCCTCTGTCACCGCCATATTGGTGGGAACCATCTCCCCTCTCCTCCCCTCTCATGGGCTGCCAGAGGAGCCCTCAGCTTCTTCTTAGCATTCAGTCGGTTCTTCACACCGCTGCTACTTAGTCTTTGACTCTGCAGATCATGTGACTGCTAGCATTCAAAACATCCCATAGCTTTTCATCTTCCTTTAAAGCAAAGCTAAAAGTCCCTACCTTCCTGGCTTGTGACGTTCTGCATCTTTGGCCTCCAGTGACTGACTCCACATCCTGTTTCTCTCCTGGCTTGTTTGGCTCTTGCCTTACCATGAGCATGCCAAGCAGACTCCCACCTGGGCCCTTCCCATTGCTGTTCCCTCTGCCTGGTTCACCTTCCTCCCGGGTAACGTAGTCTGCTCCTTCCTTCCTTCAGGCTCCGCTCAGGTGTCCTTGGTGGCCTTCCTGGAGAACTCTGTATAGAAGAGAGTTTGCTTTCTTTTCTCCATCACATGCTCTGCGCTAGATAATGCTTATTTGCTGTCTGTTTCCTGGCACCTGGATCAAGAGCATCACAAAAACAGGATTGGCTTTGTAACCCAAGATCTTCTATCCCAGTACCTGGGTTCTTATAGGTTCTTAGTGAATCTTTATGGAATGGATGAATACACATGTTTTAATATTAGTAGATAATGTTTTCTCTCACCAGGTACCAGGTCATCAGTACACCATCTGATATTTTCATGGTGATGGAATATGTCTCAGGAGGAGAGCTATTTGATTATATCTGTAAAAATGGAAGGGTAAGCAGTTCTCATTTAATCCTGTACATATTTTATAACTCCCCTGTATCCCTTATTTGCATCAAAATGTCAGAGAGCAATTTTCAGAGGTCTGTTTAGTAACCAATTCCCTTAGTCGTATTTGTTTAGAATCATAGGCTACTTAGAGGTAGAAAGAAGGACCTCAGTGATGAAGCCCTGAGCCACTTACACAGACAGACATGGATATTGAGCCTCCCAGTTAAATATTTGTTCAAGGTCACATGATTTATTAGTGATAGAGTTCACTTAAATCCCCAAAATTTATAATCCTTAGACTCATGCTTTGGGGTATACAGACTTTTCTTTTTTTGAGACAGGGTCTCACTGTGCCACCTTAGCGGGCTTGGAACTTGCTCTTTAGGTCACACTGGCTTCCAATGCGTAGAGATCTCCCTGCCTCTGCCTCCCGAGTGTTGGGATTAAAGGCGTACCTGGCCTGTACAAACCCATTTAGTGTGCATCTTAAACTTTATAAGTATTCCTTACAAAATACATTATTATTAAATATTTAAGGATGTAGGCCTCGTTATTCAACCCTGGCCACATTTAAGTTGCGTTCATTGTTTCGTCTCTGAACTCGGATGTACCTGGGACAGTAAGAACGGGCTTTATGGAAGACTTTGGAATTAGACTTCGGGACTTTGGTGTTGGAGGGAACTTTGGAGACATTTAAGTTAGAGATACAAATACTGAGCGCTGTCCCCTGCCCATGCTCGACCTCAGGTCCTCGGATTTGTCCCTTCTAAAAGCCCCACATCTGGCACTGAGAAAAGAACTTGGCCTGCTTTCAGTCGAAAGTTATTTGCATTATTCATTCACCCATTTTACATAGTGTTTCTCTTTAATCAGAATAAAACTCACTAACCAAGTTAATCTTTACTTGTTTCTCAACATGGCCAATTTCTATTTTAAGTATTACCTTTCTCATCCTTCTAGGTCCCACTCCTACTCCCTAAAGGAATTCTTCCTAAAACCATCACCGCCTTTTTTTTTTTTTTTTTTTTAAATTTCGAGACAGGGTTTCTCTGTGTTGTTTTGGTGCCTGTAGACCAGGCTGGCCTCGAACTCACAGAGATCCGCCTGCCTCTGCCTCCTGAGTGCTGGGATCAAAGGCATGCGCCACCGCCGCCGCCCGGCCATCACTGCCTTCTTTTCTTATCTTTTTTCTTCTGTTTGTCATTTCTAGCCATCTTGCACTACGATTTGGGGATGTCGTTAGTTTTACGTTTTGAGTGCTGAGTTTTCGGCTGCTCTGTTTCTGTATTTCAGGTATCTGCCTTATTTTCTGCAATTGCCCTTGGGCAGCCTGCCCGTTTGGCTTCACAGATGCACCTTTACCTGGTTGAGAAAGATGTTTTGGTTTTAGGTTTTAATTGTCTTTTGGCTCCTGCTCTGTTCCGTTCTTGGTGCCTCCTGGTCCCCCCACTGCCCCTCCCCCTTTTCCTCCTCATTTTATTTGTCTTTTTTTTTAATGACTCTTCTCAGATCAGGTGATTCTTGGCTTTCCACTTAAATCTCAGAATGAAGTACCAAATGCCACGCTAATATACATCTGAGATTTAGTGATTGGTGGCTTTTCCCATAAGTTGAGTGGTTGGGAGAGCTGTTAATTTGGGTCGGGTAAATCTTTTGCTAACCATCATAAGTATTTTCCTTCTTCGTTTGATTTGGTACTTGGTGTTTCCTATTTTGTTGAAGGCAGTAGTTTAGCGGTTGGAACTGAGCTTTGAGTTGGGGTCCATTCTCTTCTGTTAGTGTCCTGATCGTCACTTAGAGCACATCTTCCTTACAATGCCCTGTTCCTGCCACAGTGTCCTTGAGAGCGATCCGGCTTGGCTTCACTTGAGTAACCAGAGGTCTTACTCCCCAGTGGCAGGGACTTTAAAAGTTCTCACCAGGTTTCTAGCCCACCCCTCACTCTGCCTCAGGAAGTCCTAATTCCTCAGTTTCTGTAGGGTTCCCTATGCATGTGTTTATTTCTTCCTCTAGGCTTTGGTTTTGCTGAGTCTTCATCCGCTGTCCAAGCACTCCTCTGGGTGGGTGCTGTCTCTCAGTCCTTTGTTTTGTGGGCCTTGTGTATTGCTGATCGCTTCCTAGTGCTGTTAACCCTGCACAAAAGATTCAGTGCACGATGTTCATCAGCTGCAGTATGCTCTGACTTGGCTCGTCGTCTTCCTTTAGTCTCTGGCATTCTTTGTACTGTATTTTTGCAAATACAGCACTTTCCACCCCTGTAGCCTTTCTACTTATTTTACTTCTTATGTTGTTTCTTAGTTAAATTTTCTCTTCCTCTTCCATAATCTTTTTATAAACATCTACTGGAACGAATAAAGGCACTAGATCGCAAAAATATTACTATATTTTTCTTGAAGAAGGGTGTCTTACATGTCAGTAGGAGTTTTGATTTTACATTCCAAGAAATGATCAGTTTATCTTTGTCCCCACATTATCCACGCATTGAAGGTGTAGAATTCTGGATTTAGAATGCTTGCTCATGACCTACCGGAGAATTGCATGTGAGAGTCCTTGCCTAGGGGATCCGCAGCTTCTCTATTAAATGCGCTGTCCTGGAGCAGGTATAAACCAGTAGTGGTTATCACTTGTTGAGCAAACCTCAATAAATACAGGGAAGAGTTTTGAAGAGTATTTTTAAAAGATTATATTTGAAAATTTTATTTGTAGCATAAGATTTTTTTTTCAATAAACACACAAAAGGAAAAAGTATTAAGGATTTTCTTTTGTTTACATAAAAACATCTCGGGACTGAAGAATGGCTCAGCAGTTTTGAGGGTTTGCTCTTCTTTCGGAGGTCTGAAGTTTGGTTCTTAGCACCCATATAGGGTGACTCAAGACTGTCTCTAACTCTAGATCCAGAGAGTCCAATGTCCTCAGAATTCTGGCCTCTGTAGGCACCTGAATGCAGATGTGTAGACACACACACACA